ATATAATATATGGAGCCCTGGTGGCACAGTGGTTAAGAGCTTGGCTAGTAACCAAAAGGTCGGGAGTTCAAATCCACCATCTGCTCTTTGGAAACCCTGTGGGGCAGTTCTACCTTGTCCTATAGGGTCACTGTGAGTTGGAGTCCACTTGATGGCAATGGGTTTCTTTAGTAATATATAGTAATATCAAGCATTATTATTGATATTGAAATTTTAAAATAAATGTAATATACAGTATCTGCAACAGTCAGTTCTCGCGTACCATAAATAATTATTATTAATAGGAAATCAGAGATAATTTTAACCAGAGCTAAAATACTTAATTTTAAATGAAAATATTGCACTTTCTAAATTTCTTAGATCTCATTAGGAAGTTACCTTTGTTGTTTTCAGAGTATAAAATATTAAAACACCTAAAGAAAAACTTTTCTGTTTTCACTTTCTCACTGTAGTCACATTTTAGACATTCCCTTGTAAGGTAAACCTTCTGAATGGTGGTGTAGCAGAAGGAGTACCAGTCTGAAACACAGTCTTGTTTCTAATCCTTGTTTGGTACTAACTAGCTAGACAGTCTTCAGCAAGTCGAGTTACCTTCCTGGGCCTTAGCTGTTTGTAAAATGGTGGACTTGGACTAGATAATCTATGAAGTATTCTTTCCAACTTCTCTTGGGAGAGGGGGGAGAAAAGTTTGAAAATACCAATTTGCCATCCCTTCTATTGTCAGTGACCTTGGGGGAGAAGAGGAGAGGAAGCAACCTATTAGTATGAGTAACTGAAAATAGTTTGAAAAAAATAAAATCTGTTAATCCCACGGAGACACTCCTCAATGGGATTCCCAAACTTCCAGTATCCCTGGGAAACCCTGCCAAAGAAATACCTTCAGCTCTCCTCAGCAGAGTTCCTTTTGGCTACCTTACTGAAATCACATGGTATAGGAAAGAGGGCTGCTCTCACAAACAGATGAATTTTACTACCTTACCAAGATCTTCTGGTTAAGCGCTTGGCTGCTAACTGAAAGGTCAGCAGTTTGAACCCACCAGATGCTCCATGGGAGAAAGATGTGGCAGTATGCTTCCGTAAAGATTACAGCCTTGGAAACCCTATAGGGCAGTTCTGCTCTGTCCTATTGGGTTGCTCTGAGTTGGAATCTACTTGACAGCAACAGGTTTACCAAGACCTTCCTTCAGTCTTAGAGACAGGATTTTAGTCATGAAATAGAGGATGATACTGCTTTTCCTGGCATTGGGTTTGAGGCTATTCCATACCACGTTTATCAGTCTGGGTCCAGTCAGGAGATAGAAACCATACAGTGGTTTTAAAAAAGGAAGTTTAAAATAAAGAAGTATTAAGCTATATAAGAGTAACTTTAAGGTATAAGAAAACTCCATATAGTACCCTAGGGCTAAGGGAGAGTACTCAAGAAAGGACACGTTTGGAAGGGGAACTTCTTCCCAAAGGCTGGGGTTCAGACCTCACTGGAGAAAGTGTAGTTGCAGCCCCCTAGATGACAGAGAGTTCACTGGTGCCCAAGCCAGAAGTGTCTGCAGTCACTGGATGAACAGGAATCAACCCTCCAGAGAGCAGCCAAGCATAGGCATTCTGAGAGAATGGAGACAATGGGACGACAGGAGGCCTGAAACAGGTAGTAACCCTGTCAGGAGGGCTGCAGTATCAGATCCTAGGAAACCTTACAGGGCAGTTCTTCTCTGTCACATGGGGTGGCAATGAGTCAAAATCAACTTGACAGCGCCCAACAAGGAACATCAACAGCAGTATCAGATTATTGTGAGAGACAAACCTCTGGATCAGGGAGGAGCCAAACTGGCCTTGTGATCACTTTACATAGGGTCACTAAGAGTTGGAATTCACTCAATGGCATTCTGGTTTGGTTTTGACACAGACACTGCATGCTTCAGGCCTCCTGCCTGCCCTGTTGCTTTGATTCCCTCTGCTCACGCATTCTAGGAGCATGGTTGAGGGAAGAGCACCACCAGATGTCCCCACACCCAAAATGCTGACCCACCATTCAGCAGCTCGGAAGAACAGGAGAGCCCCTTCCTCCTAGAGTGTTCCTCCAGTGCCCTTTACAGAGAAAGGAGAACTGTTTAAAGGAATTCTGTTCATTATTGTAGAGCATCTATTGAAGGGTGAATTTGGAGCTGAGAGGAAATAAGTTGATAAACTGGCACGGTCTACCCGTGTGGCTACTCCGCTTCTGTCAGCACTGTACCACGCATGTTTGAAGTTCATTGTAACAACAAAACAAGTCCATTTCTACCTAAAGAGATGTAGCTATCCTACTTAAAAGTGAACAACTTCACTTCTGGAATGGCAGCATGACCCACTCTGCAGTGAAACAGGCATAACTGGTTAAAATTATTTATTTTTGAAAAAGCTTTTAAAGTCTCTGGGAATTACCCAAAGGATACACAGCAAATAAAGAAACATGTATTCAGGAAAATCTACTAAATCTCAGTAAAAACAACAAGTGTCTGTGGGACTTGAGCAACAACCCCCTTTCTCCTTCCCTACCACCCCAGCTCAGCAACTCCACTCCTGGCAAATATGGCCAAGAACATGGGGCTTCCTCTCCCCTAAGCTCCCAATCAAAGGATATGCCATCTTCCTTGGAGGGACAGGCCACCATCATTTCTTATCCCCTCCAGCTCTGATTGATTTGCAGGAGCTAAATTCCTGGTAAGTACTGTCAGAAATTCGGGAGCTCTCTTTTTCCACACAGTCTCATAGGGCAGAGAATCTACCCCCACTGGAGCAGGCCTAGAATATTGGGACCGATTGCCTTCACCACAGCTTGCTAATAGGGTGGAGGTTGCATATCAATAGAGGCAAGCTGAGAACATCAGGGGCTACTACCCCATCCAGGACCCAGAGCAGTGCTCAGAAATTTTACCCAGGAAAAGAAGCAATACCTAAAACCAGACAGCTCAGAAGCTCTCCCCAAAGGAATGGACTTCATTTGAAACAAAGAATGGGGAAGTTCAAGCCTAAGGACACACTCAAAAAAATGGAGATTTTGGTAGTAAGCAATTAAGAAGAGGCTGGTAACTCTATGAAAGCAACTAACTAAACTGTGGACCAGCTAGTTTTCCAGAAAGAACCAGGGAAAGAGTTAATAATAACCCTCCTAGAATCAGAACAAACCCCAAAAACTGGCCTCATTGGCTGCTAACCAGGTCAGTGGTTTGAACCCAGCAGCTGCTCCACAGGAGAAAGATGTGGCAGTCTGCTTCCATAAAGATTACAGCCTTGGAAACCCTATGAGGCGGCTCTGCTTTGTCCTGTAGGGTCACTATGAGTCAGAATCAACTCGATGGCAATGAGTTTAGACTGGAGCAATTTAGGCCCCAAGGCATTGCTGCATAGAGCAATCAGCCGACAATGACATCTAGGTATAATACCAAATGTGGTAGACAGCTTAACAGATCAAGGAAATAGAGAAAGCCCTGTGAAAACCAGTCACTCCAGGGTGACTGTGTGCCCAAGGCTGCACCCTCTGCGGAGTGACAGCAGAGGCTTCACCTTGCAGGGGAAATAGATTTCACTAAAATAGTTTAGGCTAGTCACTAAACAAATAAGCTAACAACAACAAAAAAACAAGCCCCAGAGAGGAGGGAGGGGAACCAATATCCATAGTTGCTACAATATAAAAACCCAAATTAAACCCATTGCTGAATATATTAACTGAAATAACTGATTTTCAACAACAAAAAAAAATCATGAGACATACAAAGAAACAAGAAAATGTGATCCATGCACAGGAAACAAAGCAGGCACCAGAAACTGACTGGGAAAGGTCCCAGATGAATTGAATTGTCTATTTCTCCCTTCAATTCTGTCACTTTTAACAGATTTAAGAAAGACTTCAAAGAAGCCATTACAAACGTGTTCAAAGAACCAGAGGAAATATGCTTAAGTAAGTAAAAAGCAGCTATGATGACAGTGTCTCATCAAATGGAGAGTATCAATAAAGGGACTGAAATTATGAAAAAGAACCAAATGGAAATTCTAGAGTGGAAAAATACAGTAAAAATGAAAAATTATCACTAGTAGATTTGAACTGGCAGAAGAAAGAATCAGCAAACTTCAAGACAGATTGATAAAAATTATGCAATCTAAAAATCAGAAAAAAGAATGAAGAATAATGAACAGAGCCCTAGAGAAATGTGGAACACTATTAAGTACACAAATATATGCATAACGGAAATACCAAAATGAGAGGCAAGGGAGAATGGAGCAGAAGGAAAATATGTTCTCTGATCATAATGGAGTGAAATTAGAAATCAATAACAGAAAGACCACCTTGCGATATCTACGGTCTCGGGGTTGGAGGACATGACTCACTCAATCATGTCTGTATAATGAGGCCACAATAAAGGCTCTGGACACAGAAGCTTCTTAGGTGAAAGGCATTGATGCATGTGGGAGGGTAACGCATCCCTTTTGGGGACATGGAAGTTTTGCATTGGGAACATTCCCAAACCTCACCCTATGCATCTCTTCATTTGTATCCTTTTGTTACAGTAAAGCTGTAATCATTTCTTTCTGTGAGTCATTCCAGTGACAAACCCAAGGGAATAGTGGGAGCCAGCAGGTTAGAAGTGAATGGGAGGATCCTGGGAACCCCAAGCTTATTCTTGATATCCTGAAGTTGTTGTTAGGTGCCGTCAAGTTGGTTCCAACTCATAGCAACCCCATGCACAACATAATGATATACTGCCCAGTTCTGCTCCATCCTCACAATCATTGCTGTGCTTGAGCCCATTGTTGCAGCCACTTTGTCAGTCCATCTTGTTGAGGGTCTTCCTCTGTTTTGCTGACCCTCTACTTTACCAAGCATGATGTCCTTCTCCAGGGACTGATCCCTCCTGATAACATATCCAAAGTATGTGACATGTATTGTCTCCACCCTTGCTTCTAAGGAGCATTCTGGTTGTACTTCTTCCAAGACAGATTTGTTCCTTCTTTTGGCAGTCCACAGTATATTCAATATTCTTCGCCAGCACAATTCAAAAGCATCAGTTCTTCTTCAGTCTTCCTTACTCATTGTCCAGCTTTCGCATGCATATGAGGTGATTGAAAACACCATGGCTTGGGTCAGGCGCACCTTAGTCCTCAAGGTGACATCTTTGCTTTTTAATACTTTAAGGAGGTCTTTTGCAGCCGATTTGCCCAATGCAATACGTGTTTTGATTTCTTAACTGCTGCTTCCGTGGGTGTTGATCGTGGATCCAAGTGAAATGAAATCCTTGATGTCAATCTTTTCTCCATTTATCATGATGTTGCTTATTGGTCCAGTTGTGAGGATTTTTATTTTCTTTATATTGAGACATAATCCATACTGACGGCTGTGGTCTTTAGTCTTCATCAGTAAGTAATATCCTGAAGGTATCTTGAAGGGGTAGTGGGAGAACCCTGAATTTGTGGCAAGAAGGTCAGAAGCGAGGGTGTCGTGGGGTCTCCAAGCTTGCGACTGGCCTTTAAAGTTTTGGGCAGACTTGGCAGTCTGGAGGACTGTGCCTTTTGTGAGGCCTGACCTAGTTCCAAGTGGCTAGGGTCAGAGGAATAAGTGCTGCATGTGTAGTTGAATTAGAACTGAATTGATTCCATTCAGTTGGTGTGAGAAGTGGAATACACTGAAGTGAATCTATAGATTCATTGCAATTGATCCTTACATTTTGTGTCAGAGAAATGGGATTTGATTGATCTACATATTTGGTGTCAGATAAGTGGTATTTGATTTTTCTCAGTTTTTATGTACACCTTCTCCTCAGTTGGCTGGCAGTTCAAATCCACCAGGCCCTCCTTGGAAACCCTATGGGGCAGTTCTACTCTGTCTTGTAGGGTCACTGTGAGTCGGAATCGACTCAGCATCAGCGGGTTTGGTTTTTTTGGTCTCCACACTTAGAGCCCTGGTGGCTCAGTGTTTAAAAGCTCAGCTGCTAACCAAAAGGTCAACGGTTCAAATCCACCAGCCACTCCTTGGAAACCCTATAGGGCAGTTCTGCTCTGTCCTATAGGGTCACTATAGGTCGGAGTTGACTTGACAGCAACGGGTTTTTTTTTTTTTTTTTTGTCTCCTCACTTATCGACTATCTTGTTATCTAACATTTCACATTTACAACAGTAGTAAAAATCTGTTTTACACATTAACAACATACATCTGGCAGTAACAAACACCAAGATGAGGCAAGCGTAATGCTGGCTTTGATGGTTAAGGTTATGTGTCAACTTGGCTAGGCCATGATTCTCAGTGGTTTGGCAGCTATGTAATGCTGTAACTTGGCAGTTATATAACGATACAGTTATCCTCCATTTTATGATCTGATGTGGTCATTCTCCATTTTCACATAACATGATTTTGCATAACGACCTGGTCTTTGGAACCTAACTATGTCCATGAGTAAGGAGAGGGTGTATACTAACCATTCTGTTCTTCTCTTTCCTTTCTCTCATTTTTATTTTGTACACAAGTTATTTTGGAGGTTAACATTACAGTTTACTAATTAGATAACAATATTCGGGTGGATAATGACTAGATTTAAGGAGTAATTCACATAGCCTCTGAAGGCTTAATAACTGTTGGGACTGTGTGTCTTCTCATTTTGGAGAAGAATGAGAGCTTGTTCACTTTTTTAGACAACTTGATTGAGGTATAATTTACTATTCATATCTTGCATGTTAAATTTCATTTAACTCTGTAACTCAGCCTTTCTATTTTGGAGGTTACCCCTCAAAACATAATCACTTTTTGGAGAGGGAAATTATTTTGTGATGAAGTGTGTATCTAATTTTGTGATACCCCATGTACTCTGAAAGATGAGACACTGCCTGATGAGTTTTCCTTTACTAGAATTGGTTTTAAATATGGAATATCTAGAAAGGATCCAAGCAAGGGATAAGTCAGTTAGACCAGATAAACCTCAAGACATCTTTTAATCATTAAAGATGTCTTAAGAATAAGTAAACCCTTTATATTTACTTATTCTTTACATAGCAACATATTCTATGATATAATTTCTCATTCACTTTGTGAGAAGATTACTTTCTTTAAATTATTTTTAAGGACAGACTAACCTGTGATTGACTGAAATAGTTAATACATATCTTCTCAAAATCAGTGAAAACTCTAGTAGGTCAATGACGTACAGAATAGTCGGGCTGTGCCAAATAACATAATTAATGCATTTATCATTCTACCAAGTGAAACTAAAGTTTCAAGATACAACTATTTTGAAAATAACTTTTTATCTTAAAAGAGAAAACTTTTTATCTATGGCTGCAGAATTTTTGCTGTGTGATGTAATGTTGCTGGTTAGTAATACAATGGAATAAAAATTGAAATGACCCTAGTAGTTTAATCAAAGATAAATTTATTATTTTTTTAAACGTTCAATATTGTTTTTGTGGAACTTGTGTTTCATTTACCCTAATAATTCTTGGGGTTTTGTTGTTGTTGTTTTATTGTTAAGTCCTTCCCAGATATGATCCACCATGTCTATTTAAGGGACACCTGAGCACCAAAAGTAATGGTAAGTGAAGTATTGGTTTTAATGGTAGCTTGTTAACAGATTAAGTGTATGTTTCCTTTATTTGCAAGTTATATGACATGATGAAAAATTACCTCATATAATGAATATATGAACTTGAGATTTCATGACTGCATAATGTAATGTTAGAGTAGCTATAAATATAGGAGTTCTTGAAATAGAAAATTTAGGAGTCCATCATTTTAAACTATTACTGTGTCACTGGATATGGGCTTGGCTGCCTCTTGCTCCCCACTGCAGCTCCAGCCTGGCTCTTCTCTTTGCAGGCAGACTACTCAGGCTTAAGGCATGCCTTCCTTGCTAAAATGGTGATTAGCAAGTGTTAAAGACAAGAGCACTGAAAAGGAAGAGCTGTGCAGAGAAAGAGACGCTTGAATAAAGCATTTTGTATCAGCAAACAGGGCCTTTCTATCCAATTGGATTTCTGGGACCTATGAAAGGGAAGTCTACTGTGTATTTTTGTGATGGTCTTACATTTTAAAGTCTTCAAAGTAAATTTTTTATGTTATGAATTTAAAATATGTTTACAATTGTAGCTTAAAAATTATAAGTCAGTAGGTTTTTAGGCAAAATGAAAGTTTTTGTCCTTATTTATGTGAAAAATCTTTGATAGTGGTTGCCTCCAAATATGAAGGTAGAATCACATTTTTCAGTGATCTCACTTATTTTTCTTGTATTAAAGTATATATATACACGTAGAACCGGAATAGTAAACTTTTCTTTGAAAAAGAATTTTAATTAAAAATTTTAAACTATATTTAAAATATACATAAAAAAAACATGATGAGGAACTATATGTAAAGTTTGCTAACATTTCTTTTAAGGAATGACTGTTTAGAGGCAGTATAGCTATAGTGGTTATCAGCATGAGGCTGCCTGGTTCACATCCAAACTGCATCCTTTATAAGCTGTATGACCTCGAACACCTTACTCACACATCTGTGCCTCAGTTTCCACTTCTATTAAGTGATGATAACCATCACTGTTGAGTTGATTCTGACTCATAGAAACCCTATAGGACAGAGTAGACTGCCCCATAGGGTTTCCAAGGAGCAGCTGGTGGACTCGAACTGCCAACCTTTTGGTTAGCAGCCTGAACTCTTACCCACTGTGTCACTAAGTTCCTTAAATGATGATAGTAATGACTAAATGAGTTTATATATGTAAGGAGCTTAAGAAAACATGCATGGCAAATGGTAAACATTCAACAAATGTTTTTAGTAGTAGTACTGTAGTAGTAAGGAGCCCTAGTGGCACAATGGTTAACACTCAGCTGTTAATCAAGAGGTTGACAGTTCGAACCTGGCAGCCAGCTCCGTGGGAAATAGAACTGACAATATGCTCCCCATAAAGATTACAGCCTAGGAAACCCTATGGGGCAGTTCTCCTCTGTAACATGAGGCTGCTATGAGTCAGAATCGACTCAGTAGCCCGTAACAACAACAATACTAGTAGTACTAATAACAAGCTCATCACTGTTGTATATGCTTATCTTATACATAGAATTTCCCTGGAAAAATGTATTTAAAAAGTAGCAGGGTATACTTCTGGGATGGGAGACCAGGGATCAGGGTGGGAAAGTCACTAATTTTTCAGTCTCTATATACCTTTTTAGCTTGTAAATTTTTTAACCACATGCATGTATTCTCAAAAACTGTTTTTAATGTTTAAAAAATTGTAGTTACATTTATATTTTTTACTTATATAAGTTCTTTATTTCTAAGATTTCTTTTAAGTAGCTCGGATGAGGTCAAGGAGTTCAGTGTCATGGAACTTCCATGTGATCATACCTGCCTTAAGATAGTCCTAGTACTTCAAAAAGAATGTAATAAACTGATGTGTAGGAGATCTTATTTTCAGGTGTAAAGTTAGAAATTTGCCTCTCAGAATAGAATCTTTATATAGGATTTTGGGTTTGGGATTTGTGTATTTTCCCAAACTCGATGGATTGTTCAAGTATTAGTAATGGTAATATTATTTTATAATCAAGCAAGTAAGTGACTAAACATTTTTTACTTGCGTTTGAGTGCTGACAGTAAGAAACAGTTTTGTAAATGTAATGAAAGATTATATTTTAGAATCTCTTCCCAAAACACTCAGGGTTGTAAAACTCTTGGAAAGGCTTGAACTCAAGTGGTCAGTTGCCTGTCAGAAGTTATCAGTACAAGATTAAGGCTAGAATGTATTCAGCATCACAAATTTATAATGTCAGTATCTTTGTCATTGAGTTTCAGAACATTTTATAAGAATGAGCTAAATTACCAGCAGCTTGTTTATCTCTTGATTTTTATGTTAATTTTAAATATGTAATGATGAAATATGTTTTCATTTTTAGCTTTTTGCACTGACTCCTCCTCTCTCAGACTAAGCACTCTCCACCTGGTCAAGACTCACATGGCTGCCCACTATAATAAAATCCTTTCCGCCAAAGGTAAAAATGTGCAAATGGGAACTTTGAGCACCTAGTTTTAACTTTCTGCTTCTCATTAGAATAAATCTGTAGCAAAAATGAATACATTATATAGAAAAGGTTTTGTGGTTGGTGTAGTAAGTAAAATATAGTTGTTTAATTAACAACTATTGACTGTTGTTTAGGAAGCAGTGAGTTTCTATTTATGGTAATGGAAAATTTGGCAACAAATATTGATGATAGTTGCACAACATGGTTGATGTAATTGGTGTCACTGAATTGTACACACAAAAAATACTGAATTGGTAAATGTTGTGTTATATATATTTTCACAACAATAAAAAAAGAAAAAAGTGTAACTACCCAAAAAAAAAAAAAATTATTGACTAACTTTATATACATAGCAAATTCAGAATACCATTTTTGTTAACTGTATTTAGAATCTACATAATACCTATGTTATTTTATTGTAACTGTGATATCCCTAATATTATTTTGTGGCAAGATATTGATCTTAATATAAAAGTTTTATAAACAGCTTTTTTGTTTTTGAATCCACTAAAGAAGTTGCACAAAGAAGATGCTATCTGCTATTTTTTTTTCTTTTTTGTCAGCATTATTGAGGTATAACTTACATACAATAAAATGTACTCATTTTAAATGTACAGTTAAATGTTTTGACAAATGTATACATTTGTATAACCACCACCACCACCACCACCACCATGCTATAAAGTAGGGGTCAGCTAACTACAGCTTACAGGCCAAATCCTCCTGCCACCTGTTTTTTTACAGCTTGTGAACTAAGAATGGTGTTTATATTTTTAAATGGTTGGGAAAAAATCAAAAGAAAAACAATATTTTGAGACGTGAATATCGTATGAAATTCACATTTCATTGTAAATAAAGTTTTACTAGAGCACAACCACATTTGTTTTACATATTGCCTCTGGCTGCTTTTGCACTAAAAGGCAGAATTGACTAGTTGTAACAGAGACCATAGTGCCCTACAAAGACTAAAGCATGTACTTTCTGGCCCTTTACAGAAAAAAATTTGCTGGCCCCTGTTATAGAATATTTCCACCCCAAAAAGTTCCCTCTACTACTTTGGGCTCAATTCCTTCCCGCCAACCCCTGGCAACCACTGATGTTTTTATCACTATAGTTTTGTCTTTTCTAGAATTTTATAAAAGTGGAATCATATAATATGTATCCTTTTGGGTCTTGCTTTCAATTAGCGTAATGTTTTTGAGATTAACCCATGTTTGTTGCGGTGTATCAGTATTTCGTCATTCTTACTGCTCAGTAGTATTCCGTTTAATGTGTATACAACAAATTGTTTTATCAGTTCCCCAGTTTGTAGACATTTGGATTGTTTTCACTCACTTGGGCTTTTATCAATAAAGCTGCTGTAAACATTCCCACGCACTCCTCGAACATATGTTTCCATGTCACTTGGATTAAATAGCTAGGAGTGGAATTGCAGGGTACTGTGGCACACGTTGACACAGTGGCTGCAAAAATGGGCTCAAGCATAGCAACAATTGTGAGGATGGCACAGGACTGGGCACTGTTTCGTTGTGTTGTGCGTAGGGTCGCTATGAGTTAGAACCAACTCGACGGCACCTAACAACAACAGCATGGCACACATGGGGTCATCATGTCTGAATCAACTCAAAGGCAACTGGGGTTTTTTTCTTTTTGTTTTTATGGTAAGTGTATGTTTAACTTCATGAGAAACTGCCAAACAGTTTCCCGTACCATTTTGCATTTCCATCACCTCTACATCCTCACCAACACTTGGTATTGGCAGTCTTATTTTAGCCATGCTAGTGAATATGTAGTAATATCTCATGGTTTTAGTTTACATTTCCTTCATGGCTACTGATGTCAAGCAACTTTTCTTGTGCTTATTTGCTATGTGTATGTCTTCTTTGGTGAAGTGTCCAAATCTTTTGCTCATATTTTTGAATGGGTTATTTGTCTTCTTGGTATAGATTTGTGAGAGTTCTATATTACATACATGTCCTATATCAGATACATGTTTTGCACATATTTTCTCACAGTCTGTGGCTTGTCTTTTCATTTTCTTTTTTTTTTACTTTTTATTTTGAAATAATCATAGACTTATAGAAAAGTTACAAAACTAGTAAAGAGTTAACATATACCCTTCACCTAGCTTCCTCTAATACTAAAACATTGCATGCAATTATCAAAACCAGGACATTAATATTGATATAATACGATTAACTACGGCCCGTTTTTGAATTTTACCAGTTTTTCACTAATGTCCATTTAAAATTTTTTTTATTTTCTCATTTGAAGAGCTTAAGTTTTAAAATACTAGGAACTCTTCGTGATTTCCACATTTGATACTTACTGTCAATTATAAATATTAAGAGTATTATTAAACAACTAATTTTTCTTTTTTCAGCTGCGGTAGACTGCTCAGTTCCAGTAAGCATGAGTACCAGTATCAAATGTAAGTAACTTTTTGACCTATTGCTTTTTGAGAAAACATTTTCTAACTTTTTGTATTGTCCATAAATAAAAGAAGCGTGTATTATATTTCTAAGTTAGAAACTTAGAATCTAGCCCAGACTTTGCTCCCAAATTTTTATGTAACTTTGGATATATTATTTAATACTTTTTGTATATATAAAAATGTGGGTTGTACTAAAAGACTTGCCAAGGTTTAAACTCTAAAATTCGACGATTTTCATTGCTCTTGGCTTATCATCAAGATAACTGCATGGTTCATTAAAAATACCATAACTGGCACTTTTCTCCAGGTAAATATTGTCTACTATTTTTATCCTAATAGCCTAACTGATAAACACAGGAGTTATATGCATCTAAAAAGCCATACTGACTTATAATTGTATAGAATCCTGAAGTGTGTGAAATAACTACCCTTGACTACCCAATATTTGCATTTTTGCAAATCTTTACTGAGGAAATAATTAGCCCACAAAATTTGAAATTCCTATTTAAAAATTTTCTGAAGGCGACAAATTTGAGACCATTTGAGGCATTTGTAGTTTGAGTTCAAGTCAAGAAATGCATACTTTAAAAGAAGGTAGATATCACAGCCTATGGTTGTCTTATTAGGAGTCAAAAAAAAAAGTATCATAAGCTTTAAGTTTAGTGTTTTCTTAAGTTACTATTTAAATTTAGTAGTTATTGTCTAATCGAGAGAGGATAGCTACATTAAAAAATACCACCCCAAGGTAGTGCATAGTAAGTGACGAACGAGGACATAGATAGGGAAACGCCGCTTGGATGCAATTGAGGGACGATCACAGTGAGCAGGGCTGGTTGGACCCACCTCTTCTTGGCCACCAGCTGCCATTCAGTGAGCAGAGTCTTTGTCAGGCCCGGTACTTGGCACTTTATATTTCCCCTCTTTTGTGCCCTTTATGTTTGTAACAAACCCTAATGTAGGCTCTTACATCTTTGAAGGAATCTAGGGATTCATATCATTTTATAGGCGAGGTAAAGGCATTCTAGGCAAGGTAGAGCTTGAGTATGTGTTTTTCAAAACCATAGCACACTAGCTACATAAGCAAGCCATTTTACGTCTTACTTTCCTCTTTTGTAAAATGAAGAGTAATTAATTTCTCAGATCCCTCCTAGACTTTGAATTTCTCTGCTGCTTTATATTTTATTTTTCTGTATCATATTAATAACTTTTAAAAAAATGAAAAACTGGTTTGTTCAATATTTATGGTTTTTAAAAATTCGCATCATTTGAATTAAGATGGTTTTTCCTAATTGTCTTTAGCTCAAATAACTCTCTTTAATTGTGGTCACCTCTAAATGGGAAAGCTTTGCTAAATTTTTATACTGGTATTAATTTCCTGAATAATAGATATATAAAATAAGATTATCTTTTGTGTGTATGTGTGTAATAAAAAGATTGTATAATAAACAGCCTGAATGTATTAATCCTCTTGCTCAGCCAAACTCTTGGATTTAAAATCCAAATCCACCAATTTAGAATAACAGGGATTTTGCATATTTTGCTTACCTCACTAGAGTTCACTCATTAGTTAATTCAACAAATATTTATTGGACACCTACTATGTGCTAGATGCTGTTTTAATACCATGCGTTATATACTGTTCCAAGGGCTGGAACTAAAAAGGTGGATAAAATAAAGTACGTGCTTTTATAAAGCTTACGTTCTAGTTGGAGGAGACAGTAAGCAAATATAAACAAGTAAATGTAGAATATGTCAGAAAGTGATAAATGCTATGGGAAAATATGAAGAAGGAAATGGGGATTAGGAGTATCCTCTTCTGAGTCAGCTTGAATTTCTGACAGTTCCCTGTCGATTTACTGCTAAAACTGCTTTTGAATGATCTTCAGCAAAATTTTACTTCTGTCTGATATTAATGATCCAAAAACCAAAACAAAACCCTTTGCCATCGAGTCAATTCCTACTCATAGCAACCCTATAGGACAGAGTAGAACTGCTCCATAGGGTTTCTAAGGAGCAGCTGGCAGATTTGAACTGCCGACCTTTTGGTTAGCAGTTTGATTCGATTCCTGTGTATTCCATCTGGCAACGTCCATGAGGGCTTTATAGCTGGTGTGAAATAAGACAGCTGGAGAGTGATAAGATCATTGTGATAGGGCAAAGAGATGCCAATCACGTAGGGGTGTGGCCACTGCAAGGAGTTTGGCTTTTACTCTGAATGAAACTGGAGGCCATTGGAGGGCCTTGAGTCAAGGAGTAACATGAGCCAATTTAACTTTTAAAGTATCTCTCCAGCTACTGTGTTGAGAATAGTCTTGAAGGGGTAATGGTAGAAGTAGGATGACCAGGTAGGAGACAATTATCTAGGTGAGGAGTAATGGTTGCAGAGTGGTTGCAGTGGAGGGAATGTGAAATAGTTGGGCTCTGGATACATTTTAAAGGGCGTCAACAGTATTTACTCATGGATTAAATGTAGACAGGGTGTAAGAGAAAAAGAGGAGTGAGTCAAGAATGACTTCTAAGACTTAGGGCCTGTCGACCAAAAGGACAGTTGTCATCTACGCCATGTGTGTTGGAGTAGAACTGTCCTCCATAGGTTTTTCAATGGATGATTTTTCAGAAGTCGATCACCAGGCCTTTCTTTGGAGGCACCTCTGGGTGGACTCAAATCTTCAACCTTTTGGTTAGCGGCTGCCTCAGGCTGGTTTCTCTAGAGAACCAAAACCAGTGAAGCATGTGTGTGTGTGTGTGTGTGTGTGTGTGTGTGTGTGTGTGTGTGTGTCAAGGAAATGGGTCACGCAGTTGTAGAGGCTGGAAAGTCCCAAGTCTGTCAGGCTGGAGGCTTCTCCTGACTCATGTAGCTACAGGGGCTGGGAAACACGAGATTGGCAGGTCAGACAGCAGGCTGACGAATCCCAAGATTGGCAGGTAAGTTGCTAGCTCAAGTCCCAAGAACTAGAGGTCAGATGAACAGAAGCCAGCTGCAGGATCCAGAGCGAGCAAAAGCCCTCGAGCTTTGCCAGAAAGTCCACTTATATTGGATGTAGGCCACACCCCCAAGGAAACTCCCTTTCAACTGATTTGCTGCTCATATCAGATGTCATTATGGAGGTGATTACATCATTACATAGCTGCCAAACTACATCATAACTGCCAAACCACTGAGAATCATGGCCCAGCCAAGTTGACCCACGACCTTAATCATCACAGCAGCTGAGCGCATTAAACATTTGCATCACCCAGAGACTCCTTATCTGTATAAAGAAAGGTTCTATGGATTTTTATATTTACATATCAATAGTGTAAACATTTTTAGCAAGAAAAAAATGTGCCTTTTATTTGGCTTATAAGAAGACCAAACAATTAAGTTTTCTATTTTGTTCCATATTTTAGATATTTAGTGATTTGTTTTTCCCCCTTAGATGCAGACCAACAACGAAGAGAGAAACTCAAAAGGGAACTAGCACGATGTGAAAAGGAGTTGAGATTAGCTAAAACTGCAAAGCAGGCCAATTCTAAAAATAATTCCAAGTCATTATTATTAAACACCCTCCAAAAGGTAAGATAGTATTTCTACCTTTTAAAAGCAAGTATTTCTAAGATACTTCATTATTGGAACAGTCTGAATTTTTGGTGACCATCTACCTTATTTTTTGTCAGAAAAGTTCTAAATTTATATTTTAACACAGAGGGAATTTTACTCGGGCTTGTCGACATGAATCGGGAGCCAACTCCATGGCAGCTAACAACAACATGGCGTCTTGTAATATACCCTCGTCTCTTTCCCGTGGGGAGTCTTTATTCGCCTGAGAATCTCGTCACAGTGTGTTTTCAGTGGTGGTCACGTGATAGGTGAATATGAAGCATAAACGTCTAAGTTTTAAATCATGATGACATTATACAGATGACACTGTGAAGTGCCATTACGATAACGTCTGCTTCTGTGTCCATTCTTCAGTTGTTGAGTTCTTGCCCCTTTAAGTGCTTGCTTCTCATTCTCTACTTATAGCCGCTTGTAGCTTTCCGGGCTTCATTCCTAGCTCTTGTTTCTGCCACTTATGGATAGAAAAGAACATTATCTTTTGAGGAAAAGAATGCTGGGTTTTTATAACAAAAACAAACTTTAATTTGTTCTTACTGAGATGCTTAACTGAAAATTGAACCGGCACATCTAATCCAGGGAATGAGATACATTAATCATCACAGTTAGTGCTATGAATGTTATTATTTATGCTTACACAATCAGGGTTAGATTTTCTTTTAGGCTAAAGATAAGGAGAGTTTCTGCACTGAAGTCTCTACTGCAGACTAAGTTAATAGCAGAACATTTTCCACTAAATCTTGGATTGATATTCTTCTATTTCTTAAGGCTTAATTATTAAAGACTGAGGAGCTAAGAGTTTTATGAAAACAATTTTTGGGTTTTTTTAGCTTGGTATTCTTAATCCCAAAGTACATTTCCTACTAAAATACCTCACCTTTGAATAATGCTTTAAACACATACACATATAGTCTAAACCTCCCAACAACCCTGTCATCAGTGAAGCTGGAATATGAGAGTCCCCAGCACTATTATATAGATAAAAGGACCAGGAATAGAGCCAGTTCCTTTAGAATAAATCTGCTGTACTCCATACTGTACTTTGCCATTTGGGAATCTGTTCATAAATATTTGACTCACATGTATATTTTCATTTTTAAGGGGGCCTGGTGGCACAGTGGTTAAGTGCTCGACTGCTAACCAAAAAGTTAGCAGTTCGAAACCACCAGCCACTCCACGGGAGAAAGATGTGGCAGGCTGCTTCTGTTTGGGGAATCTGTTTATCAATATTTGACTCACATGTATATTTTCATCTTTAGTGAGTGTGCTTTTTAACTGAAAATTAAAAATATTTTCTATTATATAGCATTTTTAATGTAATTTAATAATTTTATCTTTAGATAAGAATGAGATTTGTTGAAGAAAGTAAAATATATAATTAAGTCTGTAAATGTAAGATGTTTTCATTTTTTGTTAGCCGCTGCAACTCTATAACTTTTGCCTCCATCAAGTAGTTCATTTATACTTATATATATATTTTTTATTGACTCCATTTAGAAGTCACAGAAACTTGCAATTTGCTTAGAGTTTTGATAAGTCTTGATGATAAACATTTTAGGCACATGCAAATTGTCTTAAAATTATTATTTTGGGAAGTATATTTATTTTGATAATTAGATGGGTTTTATGGTTAACAGATACCTTTTACAATCTAAATTCAGTGAATGTTTACTATAATTTACTTTTAAAAAGAAAATGCTAGCTTTAGCTTCTAAACAAATGTATTAGCAACTTACATACATGAGATCATATATCAAAAACTCTTTATTTTAAAAATTGCCAGCACTGCCTCTGGTGAAGAAAACAAACCCGGCTTTGATTTCCATTTCATTGCACATGAGGGACTGTAAATATGGATGTGCTAAAGAATCATGTGATCTGTCCAACCTGCCCATTCAACCTGTAATTGAGTCTACTCACAAATACAAAATCTTATTGCAACTCCTAGTCATTTGACAATCTCTTTAAAAGATGGATTTCCTTTGCTTATTTTTACTGAGTTTGTAAATTAAGCTATGATTGACATCTTTTCCCTTTAAAACAATAATGTGAAATATAAAAACATTTTTATTTTAGTTTTAAATAATTTCAGTAATTTTATTTATATGATAGGTACTGTCTTGCCACTGAGTAGAATAAGAGAAGGAGAATAAAAATAACTTCTTTCCCTGCCATCAACATGTGCAGAGTGCTTACTGTCTACAAGGTACTGTTAGACCTATGAAACTGTCACATGTATTAACTCATTTAAACCTCACAGCAACTTCTGGGAGATGGAACAGTTACTACTACTGTTGTATAGATGAAAAAACTGAGGCACAGGATCTGACGGATTCGAACTCAGGCTGAGCCTCTGCTCTTCACCATTGCGTCATACTATCTATTTTAAAAACTCCTTTGACAATGCTCTCTTTTTAGATTTTTTACAGCACTAAGAATCTTAAACTGATTTTGACTTCTTTCTGGTAGTGAACAAGTCAGCTAACCTAAATACCGATTTATCTAAGTAAAGAAACTACAGATAACTGAATATGAAATTTGTAAATGCAATTGACTATCAAACCAAATGTTCTTAGCCTTCAGGGGAACCACAAGACGAGGCTGATGTGTTAATAGAAGAGATAAGCGAATTTTCATCCTTTGCAAGGTCACCAATACCTTCTTTAGAGAGACTACACTTTGGTCCACGTAAATCCGATAAAGTCCTCATGAACAGTACTGAGAAGAACTCCAGTCCCTCCCTCTCCAGTACGGATTACACAGCTTCCCGGCCTAGAAAACTGAGGTCTGCAACCCCGTGTGGCAGAGGGCCCAGGAGCACATGCCATAATCCCCACCGGTTTCAGTTAGTTATTTCCAAAGCACCCACTGGGGATCTTTTGGATAAACATTCCAAACTATTTTCTAACAAGGAATTGCCATTCACTCCACGCACTTTAAAAACAGAAGCGAAATCTTTCCTGTCACAGTATCGATATTATACACCTGCCAGAAGAAAAAGGGATCAGCGGACAGAAGCTGAAACCCAGACTGAAGTAAGCAGGTATGGCTCATCTCCATCCAGTGGTAGATCCTTCCAGGTGTTGTAGAAATGAAATTAGGATTCCTTATTTTATATCATGCACCTCAAGTCCCATACTTAACGCCTAGTAGTGTCCTTTTGATTAGAATAAGGTTAATGTGACTTTTCATTTTACATGTATCATTAAAACTATAAGAGTAATTATTGAAAAAATACAGAAAAGTCAGCTATTAAACTTGTCATGCTCCTTATAGACATGAATGTTAAAAAAAAAAAAAGTTGCCATCAAGTCAATTCTGACTCATAGCAATTGTTACCTGCTTTATTGTTGCAAACATGGTACTAGACCTTGTGCATGTATTCAAATATTATGCGTTATTTTCAGAGTATCCTTAAAATACATCGTCAGACAGCATTTGGGTAAACACGTCTATTGATTCATGTTAAAAATAGCAAAACAATGGCTATCGAGGGAAAAAAACAATTGTTTAACCAAATACTCCTGTTCTCCCTTTCCTGCAAATATTCAGTCCCAGTCTTGTATAGCAACAACTCCCCGAGAAAAATTTAGACAGTTGGGATAATTTCTAGAAATTAAGTATAATTTACCTCAATCATGTTTTCATATACCATAGTGCCTAGCACACAACAAATGTTCATAAGAGTTTGCCGAATGAATGAAGAAGCAAACAAATCTTGTACAGTATTAAACATTAGCTGATTTGTGATTTTTTTCCTAGTGCTATGTGAACAAGTATTTATCTGGTACTAGGTTTTAGTTATTTTAGAAAGTAAAAAAAAAAAAAAAACAGGTATAGATATCTATACCCATGAAAAGAATATTAGTCTATTTTTTAGACTAATATTTAGACATTTCGCCAAAGGATTAAAGAATTGAATCTATGACAGAACTTGTGAAGTTGGGGAGAGATGAGGAAAGCAAGTATATCATGTCTGATTATAGTTATGATTGCTCAGGAAGGTATTATTTCCCATCTCCTAGTCCTGTTCTGTCCCACTGAAATCCAAGCCATATCTATTTCCTGATTATATTATTAGAAATTACACGTTTTATGAGAAGAGATCAGTCTCACTAATCTTATGTTTGGGTTTATTTTTCTTTTTCTAGACAGTAAATCTTGTTATCACAATGTTTATATTTTGAAGGCTTATAGTCATTTCTTTTAAAATATTACAGCTTTAACTCTGATTTTGAGAGAGCTGAAACTGAGAATTTGACAGATTCAGAAGTGAACATAAAGCAGGTAACAAAAATGAGATATTTTCATGTTGCCACATTTGAATTATAGATGCTTTAACTTGAAAAGAATATGTATAGCTATTTGTAGCTAATGTTTTTGTGTAATTATGAGGACTATGAAGTATAATCTCTTGGCAACACTTTGTTGCGTATGCCGTAGCCAATATACAGAAGGTTACCTATTTACAAATGGTTATAGCTCTCTGTGAACGGCCAGATGGATCCTGCCCAGTCTGGGAAATCATTTGTTAAATTAGCATCTTTTCTGGATGGTTACTTGATTGTCTGGATAGATGAATGAAATAGCTTAAAGGTTTTCAAAGATGCAAACTTGAATTACTAAAGGAGCCAGCAAAGCTAGGCAGAAGCCATTTGAATTTTTCTAGCTGCGTTTTCTTTTAAAAATTGCCACTGATTATATTTTTGGAAGTTACATATTTTATAAGAATAGATGGATATCATTCTCTTATCTTTGCCTTTACTGTTTCTAGACAATTAAGTTTTTTATCATATTTATATTTTGAAGGCTTAGTAATAATTTCTTGTAAAGTATTACAGCTTTAAATTTGATTTTGAGACAAATTGATTTTTTGGGGGGGTATCAATCATAAACACTTGCATCCCTTCTAAAAACGAGTAGATCATAGGTTTACATCTTAGCTATTAGTAGCTGTTTGACATAGGGCCCTACCACCTGAGGACCAAGGACAACTCACTTATCCCCTGAGAACTGAGTTTCCTGATCTAGAAAAACCACACTTGCCTTGTAGGATCGCTGAGAGGAATAAATGATGTAGGTAAAGTGCCTAGCATGGTATGTGTTTGATAAATCATGATGGCTACTGCTAGCTTGAGCTTTAGGAAGTTAGCTCTACAGGTAACTAAATAAACTAAAGCAGAAGAAGTTCATTTTTATTACACATGCTCCAAATGTTTATCCATAACCAAGCAAGAAAATGGTGTGTCCCCATACCCAGTAACCAGTAATAGATCCCACTGGCAGTTGACTTGAGGAAACTAGTACTCACTGCCATGGACCCACATTTTATCAGCACTTTTATAAAACTGGAGCACTATATATAAATGAATACTGTAAAGATTAAATCTGAAAATTATACAGATAAGTGCTTGGCACACTATGTGCCACATACACATAGTAAAGATTATATAAAAGTTGCCATTATTTTTGTTTGTTAATATTATTGTTCATATTGCCAGTGCTACCACTACTTCTACATATTTGACATGCTGGCATTTGAAACAGATGGGCTGTTTGAATTTCTGTATAATGAGATTTTTTTTTCTCAAATGTACTTAAAATTTTCAAATTTGCTTCATTTTATCTTTATATGTTTATTTGTGATTTCTTAATGTCATTTAAAATGTCTTTTCATTAAAGTACAAGAAATAAGTTGTTTTGTCTTACTTTAAACAAGCTTAAGGAAAAAAAAGTGTTGATTGGATGGAAAAATGATTCTAAAACATTCCTTTATCATAATAAATCAGCCACTTATAACTACTGGAAATCTCTATTCTCTTTTTTGCAATTTGCTGTGTTTTGTTTTATTTCTGCTTTCATGTATATTTTTGAAGTAAATAAAGATTTATTCTTCTTATTGCGTCCCAGGCACCTAGTTGTTTAACACATGGTACCAAAGAAAAAACAGCACCTTTACCTTCACAAAAGTATGGCTTAACATGGGGTGAGATTAAAGAGGGCGTTCTTCAGCATTCCGCACCCAGGTAAACAGCACACAGGAGAAACCATGTCAGCTGTCTTTATCTAATTGCTTTCCTGTAAAACAGACACATAGTGTTTGCAACATAAGCACTATTTTAATTATATGCTGTAATAATCTATTTTGGTGTCATACATTTCAGTGGTATTGTTAATTTTACTAAGGAATTTTTTAAAGTAGGTGCTCAATAAACGTTTAAGTGAAGTAATTATGATAATTCATTAATAAAGGAAAAGGGAACACTAACTTGAATTAGTCACCATCACTAGTCATAGAACAAACGATTTTCAGCTGAGACAAGTCCTCTGGCAGTGATGTTCATCAGCTTACGTGGCACATACAGTACTGAAGAACCTAACCATTTGAGGAGTCATCATTTGCGGTTCTGAGTATTTACCATATGCTGGTGCTGATCTTTCCATGCTTTGTGGAGGTACTTGTTTAGTAATTATGGAATACTGCACCTGAACAAAAACGATAGATTAGCAGGCAGTAGAGGACCTAAAAGATGCCCGTAATAGTTTCATCTGTCAAAATGCATTTTAAGTGTCAGAGACTGAATATGAGATGAAGGGGTGGCAGAAAGGAAGAGTAGGGATTAAAAATGGAACAAGAATGAGATGTTATGGAGCAGTCCAGGAGGCGAGCTCACACAATCCCTCAGGGCGCAAAGGCCTCAGCTCTGGTCCTCCCTCAGGCCTTTCCTGGGGAGAGCTCGCCTGCTCGGGTTCATCTAGGAGTTTATTGCTAAACTTCCCTGTCCTGAAAATTCATGGTGCTTCAATACTCATAATATTTATAAACTACACTTGAGCCAGTCTTCAGTGAACATAAAGAATGACCTAAAAAAAGGAATGTTTATCTCTTCTAGTGATTTCTGTCTAGAAGAAGTACAGGTAGTCCCCAACTTACAACGTATTCCAGTTAAGAGGAACTGCACTTATGACGGTCTGTTTTTTGCTTTTGTTTTTTACCTCTTAATGTTAGTAATATGTACTACATAGAATGTTGCAGTGCATAATTTGCTGATGTTATCATTTTCAGATGGTCACTCAGATTTTCAGTGTTACGATTTACTGTTCAAAACACTGCCATATAGCAGGCTATGAAAACAAAAAAAAATAAACAGGTATTCGACTGAAGTCAGAACCGACTTGTGTCAGATTCAGTCTAATGGAACCCCATTGTAAGTCGGGGACTACATGTAAAGTAAAATATAATAATTGAGTATACCTGAATAAAAAGCTTAGAATCGGTTAATAGTGACATAACTAATGACAAAATTTATCATAATGACCAGCTAAAAATTTTTTCTTGGAGAAATATCTGTTTCCAACATTATTTATGTATTAATAAACCAAACCAGTTACGGCAAGTTGACTCCAACTCATAGAGACCCCATATAGGTCAGAGTAGAACTGCGCTGTATAGGGTTTTCGGTGGCTGTGATTTTTCAGAAGTAGATCACCACGGCTTTCTTCTGAGGTGCCTCTGGGTGGATTTGAACCACTAATCTTTCAGCGAGTAGCCAAGCACTTAACCACTTGTGCTACCTAGGGGCTCCATTTGTATATAACCTTAGTCAAAGTGTCATTGTGTATATTAGGGAAGTGCCATAGTGTACTTTAAAAAAGGATTGTGAATTTATAATTAGAAAACTAGTTTAAAAATCTATCTTTGCTGTCACTAACACGAAACCTTGACAAGTTATTTGGTCTGTCTGACCCACAGTGAGCTCGTTAGTAAATGGGTAAAGTAGTACCTACCCAACATACCTGACAGAGTTGTTCTGAAGATAACATTAGATCATGGTTATGAAAGTGCTCAATAAATTCTGAAACAGTAACATTTAATACTACTAAACATTATTGTATGGCAACCATTGTTTTGCTCATATGTTTTCATTTATCTTTCCAGGACAATATCCAAGTATTCCCTACAACCTTCTTCAGGGAGAAAAATTCACTCTGAGTAAGATAATTTTTACCTTTTCATTTTGCTTAGCGGAAATCAAGAATTAAGACTTACACAAGCTGTTATTAAATAAGTCAGGATTGAACACTAGCTTTGCTTACAACAAGCTTTGGGGTATCAGTCACCTAATATATGCAAAATTTGGAAAATGACTGGAATTTTCTGAAATAATTATCGATCGTGTCATTTTTATCCCCAGTAGCAGTTTGTACCTATGTTAATAATACCTGCTATTTTTTTTTTTTTTTTATAATCGATTCCCTTGGGTGGTGCAATCTGCTTGGCTGCTAACCAAATGTTTGACATTTTGAACCCACCCAGAAGCACCTTGGAAGAAAGGCCTGGCAGTCTGCTTCCAAAAGGTCACAGCCTTGAAAACCCAATGGAGCAGTTCTACTCTGCACACATGGGGTCACCATGAGTTAGAATCAACTTAGTGGCAACTGGTTTGGTTTTGGTTTTATCCTTTTTTATTTTTACAAGTAAAAATAATGAAGTAATAAAAGTTTTAAAGAAATACAGACTTTTGGTAGATCAAAATACTCTTCCTAGAAGTTTCTAACCTCCTCAGATGTCTGCAGATGTTATACTTACTAGGTTTTAATGTTTTAGTTAAGCTGTTTTTTTTTTTGGAGAAAATCATCTATAGAGTTTTACTTATTCCCAAACCTGTTGCTTAAATATTAGAGCCTGGGAATCAATTTGAAAGTGTAACTTTTTATATGACATTTTAATCTCTATTATCTTACTTGCTTATTAACTCTTCCCCTTATATTTACTTATTTAGTAATTGAGTGGTTGCTATTTACATTTTCTACTAAGTCACTAATTTCTGATAATTAATACAAACTTAAAATAGTGTACTAATTTTCTTGTAATAGATACTACAATAATGATCTCATGTTGTTGTTATTAAGTGCTGTTGAGTCTGTTCCGACTCATAGTGACCCTACAGGACAGGGTAGAACTGCCCCATAGGGTTTCCAAAGAGCAGCTGGTGGATTTGAACTGCCAACCTTTTGGTTAGCCGAGCTCTCAACCACTGTGTCATCAGGGCTCCATAGATGGTGTAATACAGAAACATGTTCAAGTAATTAAATATTACCACTATGTTTATGAGTACAAATTTTCCTATTAGAACTTTTTTCCCCCTCTCCAAACATTTTGAAAAAGAAAATAAATTTTTTCCCTCAATAAATTTCCCAACCTTAAAACAAGATGCTCTCTGGGAGCAGAACAGGATTTCACAGTTGAAATTGAAGACTTTCCTTTTTCTCCCCCTCTAAGTACCTCGCAGAGGAGCTTGCGCCTCTGCTTGCTGGACCTGGTAAAATTCAAAAAACCCATCAGGAATATTTGCTCCAAATGGATCACATTTGATTGCCTTCTTGACCTTGGTTGCTCATTTTGTTTGCTTATTTTTTTTTTACTGCTATTAATGTTGCAAACATCTGTAAAATCTTACCCTATTAGGTAGTATTTTCTTATTTTAATCATATTCTTGCATAATTTGAGAAGGTAGACATGCTTGTTTTATAGTATTCCTTTTAATATAAGGAGATAGAAGTACATTTGTAACAGTAAAGATAGATATTTCTAATACACGTTTCTTGTAGTTTTCAGATATAAGTAAAGAATAATTTATGCTATATTTTGCTCTGCTTTCACAGTGAAGAAGAACTGTTGTATCTGAGTTTCATTGAAGATATAACAGATGAAATTTTGAAACTTGGTTTCTTCTCAAATAGGTTAGATTTTTTAAATTGCATTTGGTGGTGAAGTATGTATTAAGTGCTCTTGGCATGGTGTTAATTTTTTTTGTTATTTCCACATATTAGGAAGTGAAAAATTGTATTGCTTTGAGGAGGGTCATATTCTTGTAATTGATAGCAAAATGTAAAGAATGTTTAATTCCTGTTCTAAGGCAAGTCCACAGTTTGGGGGAGTTATAGAAAAAAATAGAGATTTTATTCATTTAAATACTATTACATCTCTGTTATACCAGACTAGTAAAATAAATTTTTACTTCCTATTTGCATAAAAATTAGGTTTGTACACTATAAATGAAATGGAAAGTTTGCAAAGCCAGATCAGTTATTTCATATATCTTAAGCAAACTGTGTGACCCTGTTATCTGGCTTGAACATTTGTGAATCTAAAATTCATTGGTTACTGGGCCTCACTTTATACAATAAATATATATAACATATAAATTTGTCTAACATATATGTAGCATAGGACCCTATTATGTACACTGTGTGCTTTCTGTTATAATAATATGCCAAGTGCAGACATCTCTAATGAATTCTTTCTATCCCCTACATCAAGTTTTTTTTAATTACAGCAGAATTTTTCGTTATTTGGATAAAAACATATATCAAAAAGACCTAAGTTTTTGGCAATGATTCTATTTATTTCTTCCACTTAAAAAGCTGGTTGAAAATGTTTGCATAAAAAATAATACATGGTAATTTTTTTAAATTTTCTTTTAACATTATAAAGCTTTTTATTGCAGCGTTTTTTATCGTAGGAAAAAAAAAGTAATCAACCTGAATGTTGAATAGTAAAAGATTGGTCGAATAAACTATAGCATATCCATAAGAGTGAGCGCTGTTTATTAAAAATGATGTCGTAGAAGTGAATTTACTGATGTAGTAAGATATTCACAGTAAATTGTTGATTAGAAAAACAAGATAGGTAACCAAAAAGTACATACTGTTTGATCCCAGTTTTGTTAAATATATATACATATAAAAATGCCTATGAGAGAATATTCCAAAACATTAACAGTAGTTTTAAAAGGCAGAATAAACATCCTCCATCCTCGGGCTTTTAAAAAATTGCTAAATAATTCAGTACTACTAAACGTAACGTTGGCTCATAACTTAATTGATGATAACAAATAGTAACAAAGGAAATTAGTTGTTTTGCAAGAAGCCTGTTGATCCAGTCATGTGGTGAAAAAGACAATCATAGTATAGTTGAAAGAAGAAATTCTCTGGAGCCAGACACATCTGGGTTGAATTCTCTTAATGGCTTGGTGGAAACTAAATGAACATCTTACAGATGCCGTTTTCTCATCTTTCAGATGGTTTTTCCAATAGCTTTCTATCCCAACATTGGTAAGGATTCGAGGTATAATGATTATCATGTGTCTGCCACAAATGTCTAGCACTTAATGGTACTTAATAAATCAGAGCTGTTACATTATTACATGGTTTTACCATCAGTGGAATTACTTTCAAGAGCAATTTAGGAAGCGTTGTAAAATAATTATTTACTTCATAAGAGGATCTTCGGGTTTGGTCTTTAGGGTGTGTGTATGTGAGAGAGAGGCTTTTAGTATTTGTGTGTGTGTGTGAGAAAAAATGAGGAGGTTTTTGGTGTGTGTGTGTGTGTACATGCGTGCACAAGTGCATGCACGAGAGAGTATTTTTGTACCTCATTTAAACTTGCAACCTCCTTATGCAACTTGACGCAGATGCATAGTGGAAGACGTAGCTTCCGAGTTGGAGAACTTGACAGAACAGGAAAGGATAAGTCTTTAGTTTGGGGAGAAAAAGATTAATCTAAAAACTATTTTCCAACCTTTAGAACTTTAATTATTGCATAGCTGTTTTATATTTGATTGCTTGATTTTGAGACATTAACACTTTTATTTATAACTTGTAGGTTTTTGGAACGACTGTTTGAGAGACATGTAAAGGAAAACAAACATCATTTGGAGGAGGTTTGTCTTTCCTTAGAACTTCATTAGAAAAATTCTAATGTAGTAATAATTTGAAGATTTTTTTCCTACCCTCAAAGAATACATTAAGAGCAAGTGCCTTTTTTTTCCCTTGCCCTTTTTTTTTTTTTGGCTGGGGGGAGAAGAAGGTAGAGCATTAATCCTGCTGAGATTAGCAGCACTGCAGACAAAAGTAATTCAATTTACCAGCTTAAATAATGTAATTGTTCGCTTTTTCTTAATCCTAGAGAAAAATGCGCCACCTGCTACATGTCCTAAAGGTGAACTTGGGCTGTATATCCGAGCAAAACTCAGAAAAGCTAAATGATGCCGATATGTTGACTTTACTTGATTTTGGAAAGCCTGAGAATTCAGAACAAAATGAATTTAAAAAAGAACATGAAATAACAATTCAACAGGAACATCAAGAATACCAAACAGCTTTGGATATGTTATTGTCTGCACAGAAAGATGAGAACGAGATATTCTCTCCACCAAGTGATTTTTTCCTGCCCATCTTTAAAACAAAAAAGAATTCAGGAGGAGTTTTAATTCAACAGGTGAACGATGAAGCAAACCTTGAACCTTCAACATGGGATGAAAAAAACCCAAGTGTTTCAGACAGCTTAATAGATCAGGAAATCTCTGTGGATGTCATCGAACTTGATAGTGACACTGAAAAGGTTGAGACTTCAGATGAATTAGCTTGTCTTAGCCCACCATTTTCCCAGTCCGTCCAGTTCTCCAGGGTCACAGGTGATAATAATCATGACGTGGAAGGGCCAACTCTTAAAATCATGGAAATGAGCATTGACGACTGTCCTTTGAATGTTTGATCTTCATCAATAAATACCTCAAATGGCCAGGAACTCAATATTCCTTTTCTTCACTTTTTTTTCTTCAAGATATTAACAGTTCTATTTTAGTTTTCTGTGCTGCATAATAAATTACCACAAATGTGGCAGCTTAAAACAATGCACATTATTTATCCCACGGTTTCTGTGGGTCAGAACTCTAAGCACAGGCTGGTTGGGTTCCTCCCTTTTTTAAAACAGCTTTTGAAGAGTTTCCGCTTGCTAACAAGATGAAGCCCATACCACTTCTCATTTCTTACAACGCTCATCTCTTGCTCTCTTCTCCAGGGGCGGATTGCCCAGAAAGCATGGTAAGCACGGATTTACTTGCACTTACTAATCTGTAGTGAACGATTAGTAATTAAGCACAAGCAAGCTCGTGCTTACCTTGCTTACTGGGTAATCTGCCTATCAGGGATTGTAAATTAGAAGAGGCTTGGATTCTGCAGGAAGGTGCTGTGGGGTTGGGAGACAGATGCCAGCCATACCTAGAAGCAGAATCTTTGATGTGGTGAAAAAGTGTGAAATTGTTCACTACAGATGATCTGGAAGCAAGGTAAGCACCATGCTTACCTTACCTATTGGATAATCCACCCTGATCTTCTCCCAAGCATCCAAAACGCCTATGACACCTAATTGCGTGTTCCCTGAACACAGAGGTCCTCTGCCTCCAAGCTCTCTGCTCAGAACACCAATCCCTCCCACGCCGCACTGGCCCTTGAGCCTTCATTTACAGCCCAGACTAAATGTAACACCTCCTGGGAAGCCCTGCGTGATTGCCCCTCCATCTGTCCCACTCTCCTCTGGGATCTGGGGTCTTTCCCATCTACAGTATGAATCATAATATTGTTTTTTGCTTGATTTGTCTTCTCTCTAGACTGTGGGCTTCTCAAGAGGAAGGATTTTCTTTCTCTTTGGACCCCCAGGTCAGTGCCTAGCACAGAGTGGCTGCTTGAACAAATGCATCTGTTCTTGGAAGGAGACAGAGCCTGAGGGGAGGCTCAGCTACAGACAAGGTTATAGGGCAAACAGGATAGACGTTTCTTGTCTCTTTACACTCAAAGTGCAAATTCCCTAGTGTAGAAGGGAGAATATAGCAACTTGCTAAATTATATGAAAATTTCCTCATTTGCTCACATTTTAAATGGTATAAAATATAAATTAAAATCTTCCCAAAAAGCCTCACTTTAAAAGGTCACTTTTTTTTTCTCTCTAGATAGTAGTGAGGCCAATCAGAGAAGATGAGAGCAGTTTTTCCGGGGCAAATCTGTAATTTGCCAAGTGAATTAACTGGCTGTGAATTAATTCCCAATGAATTGCTTCACTCTGGGCCTTGGTTTAACAGAGTTTGGTCTAGATGATCCAGAAAATCCTTTCAGCTTTAATGTGTCAAAGTTGGCTTAATTCTTAGGGTCTTTATAAATTTAGTGTAATTGAAATAATTTACATCTAGAAACAGCTACTAACTCTATGTGCTAGTGTAATACTGGAAAGCGATCTGCTATATGGATTCACATTTAAGTGACAGATGAAGACACGCCCAAACAATTTAATTACTCTTTCCAGACCTTTTAAAAGCAGCCAGATGAAACTAATAATGGCTTTTCCCAAAGGCACAAATCCCTATGTTTAATTCAAAGGCCAGGAGGAAGAAACTTTTTTGATTTGCTTCCAAGGTCAACTTTTTGTTGCCTAAGGAATCCTGTCTTGGGCCAACATTCAAGTTTTGAGGCAAGAACACCTAGCAGTCCTGGATGGGAGACTTCCATACTCATCTAGTTTTACAAGACCCTTAAAATAGGTTAGCTAAGCTTCAAGTTTTCTGTTGCTGCTGTAGCAAATTCCCACAAATTTACTGGCTTAAAATAGCACACATTATTACCTTCCAGTTCTGGAGGTCAGAAGTTCTAAAATCAAATTATTGCCAGGGCTGCAGGCCTTCTGAAGGTTGTAAGGGAGAATCTGTTTCTTGGCCTTTTCCAGCTTCTAGAGGCCGCCGGCATTCCTTCACTTGTGGCCCCTTCGTCTTTAAGGCCATCTGTATAGCATCTTCAAATATCTTTTCTTCTCGTCCCCTCTCCCTCTCACCTGTTTCATAGTTTATATCTCCTCTCATTCTGACTGTCCACCTCCCTCTTACGAGGATCCCTGTGATTACACTGGGCCAACTGGATAATCCAGGATCAACTCCTCATCTCAAGATCCTTAATCACATCTGCAAAGTCCTTTTTGCCGTGTAAAATAACATATTCACAAACTTGGGATTAGGATGTGGACATCGTTGGGGGAGGGGGGGTCATTATTCAGCATACCACAATTGTAAATACCGTTAACCTAATATGAATTACCTAAACATTTTAGTACCTATTATAGTTTATAATATAGTATGTATTATAGTTTGACTATGTAATGAGAATTCCTTCTGAATCCCAAATTGAGATCTGTATTAAATATCAAAGACGGTTTCACTGATGAATTCTACCACACCTTTAAAGAAAAATACCAACTATTCACAAATTTTTCAACAATGAGACCACTTCCCACCTCATTCTATGAGGCCTGTATTACCCTGCTACCAAAATGAAAGATATCACAAGAAAACTCCAGATGAATACCTCTTCTGAACATAGAAGCAATCCTCAACAAAATACTAGCCAAATCCAGCAATATATTAAAGAGATTATACACCATGAGCAGCAATGCAAGGTTGATTTAACATCCAAAAAAAAACAAACAATGTAATACTCCATATAAATAAAGGAGAAACACTATCTCAATAGATGCAGGAAAAGCATTTGACAAAATCCAACACCCTTCATGATAAAAATAATACACTGAACAAATTAGGAAGAGAAGGGAACTTCCTCCACCTGATAAAAAGCATCTATGCAAAAAACCCATAGCTAACACACGTAACGGTGAAGACTGAGTGCTTTTCTTCTTAACATCAGGAACAAGACAAAGATGTCCACTCTTGCCAATTCTAGTCAACATTGTACTGGATGTCCCAGCCGGGTCAATTAGGCAACAAATGGGGTTTAGATTTTGTGAACGTGAAAAGCTTCAGCACTCTGAGGTGTAGTGAAGATGACCAAAACTGAGTCTGGGTGCTCCGCTGGTATGTGATCTTGGACCAGTAACTTCATTCTCAGATTGCTGTCTTCAGCTGTGAAGGTGAAATGGCATACACCAAAGGGTTGTGGTGATGATTAAAGGGAGTAATGGACATTGAAATCCTTCAACTCAAATACTAGATAAAATGTTTGTTAGAACATGTCTTTATTGGATAGTTCATTTCTAAAATGCCTCCTGAATATTAAAATCATCATGTACTATTATTAACACTAAAATAGTGTAGTCTCAAATGATGGTCTTTTCTTTTCCATTGTTGACAAGTAAAATTTTCTCTTAAAGACAATCCAACTGAATAGTTTTAACATACTTACCTATTAAGTGATTTAAAATAGCATAGTTTTAATTCACCCAAAAGAAAGGGAAGGGATCAAGTTATATGTGTCATTTTTTAAGTTAGCCTTTCACCACCAAAGTGTTCATTAATGGCTTGACAGGGAGAGAGGAAAACATTAAATGTAAGTATTTGCTGGCTGGCTGGTGTATCTGACACTTTAGGAGAAAAAGCAACCAACTAAAATTTTTTTCTGCTACACTATCATGTATTGCTACCCTTTACACTTGAAAAACATACTAGCGTCTTACTTGTGATTAGCTTGAAAACATAGAATGGACTTTTAAAACCAAGGCTGCTCTTTGTTGCAATCTTTCTGTTATCTGGAATTCTGCATTTCAGAAAGTGAGCTAAATCAAAACCTTCACTTGCAAGGCTCTGTTGCTGTCCTGAATACTTGGTACCAGGTGAGTGTTGTCCTCTGTGATGTATCAGGTACTCAGTCGTATACCAGCGTGTGATGAGGGGCTCCCTTGCACGTAGTGTGTGTGTTCTACATGTGTGTACCAGAGGCGGAAGTTCTGTGAGTTCAGGACATCATCTTCTCCCTGCCTTTGAGTGTCCTTCTGATAGCCAGTAACTTCTGGTCATTGTTTCACCCACTAGTCCTCCTTGACCCATTTGTTCCCTTCAGTGTATTTACTTTAAGAAATGGTTTAATTCCTAGCTAAATCTGAGGCCCTCTTGTCTCTCCTATTCTTTGATACACATGGTTTCTTATGTCAGCCAGTTTAATCATTTTGTAGCACCAGGTACTATGTAAAATGCTATACCTCCAATTGCAAAAAAAATAGTAGATTAAAATATGACCCAAACACAGATCCTTATTAAGATAGTGTTGCTAAGTAAAACTTGTAATTAAGATTACTTAATAAAGGAGAAAGGAGCCATGATGGCACAGTGATTCAGCATTCAGCTGCTAACCAAAAGGTCAGCAGTTCAAACCCAACCAGCTGCTCTGAGGGAGAAAGATGTGGCAGTCTGCTTCCGTGACGATTACAGCCTTGGAAACCATATGGAGCAGTTCTACTCTGTCCTATATGAGTCAGATTCAACTTGACGGCTACAGGTTTGGTGGGTTTTTTGTTTGTTTGTTTGTTTTTTGGAATAAAGGAGGAAAATCAGAATTTTGGACTTTTCTAGATACTAGACATTGTACTTTATTTGCCATCTTATTTAATCCTCCTAAGAACCCTGTAAGTAGGTAATTTCCATTTGACAGATAAACCAAGATAAGTTAAATAACCTGCCCATAGCCATGAAGCTACTTCCCAAGTCTCTAAAGCCTGGTTTTTTCCTTGTTAATCTGCTGTGTTGATATTGTGGGGAAATATGTCAACAAATATTTATTATTCAAGTATATTAACTGGCCCACAGATATACTGCTTATCGAAGCTGGCCATGTTGGCAAGGTAAGTTGTAACTGAAGTAATTACTGTGGAGATGTGTGATGACAGATTGGGAACTACTAAAAAAAAGTCTATTATCTAGTACATTATTTTAAATAATCTAGTGGAAAAATCAGGACTAATTATGCAATAAGATCTACAGTAAAAAAAAGGCAAAGTAGCTTAAAGTACACTATTATATTCACACACAAATCATATCTTGCTTCAAATATTTATTTTCATGGCAAAAATAGACTATAATATAGTCATTTCACATATATTACATTCAGTCGTTTGAATTTTTTTGCCCATTAAATGTACACACTTTTACAAACCAATTACAGTTTAGAAGAATCAAGCTTTTGTGATTATACATTTTTACATTATTGATCATCAAAACAGTAGCACAAAACTTTTTAAACTAGAAAATACTAGACAACTATACTACCATTTCAAAAAGGTAGAATTTCCACTGCATTGCTTAATTACAGGGCAGCTTTCTAAGAAAATGTATTTTGTGTAAATTTTCTCCAAATTTGGTTTCAAGTTTGTTAGGGCTTTTAAATCATACCAAC